GCGCTAGTCGCAACCAGTCTATCTCAGCTGCCTGCAGTGAGCCAGCTGCCTGCAGTCCGCCGGCATCACGCCATGCCACACCCTTTTCCAGGCCGACCTCGCCCTACCCTCTCTCCTCATATCTCCCCATCTCTCCCCATATCTCCCCATATCTCCCCATATCTCCCCATATCTCGCCAGGCTGACGGGCGAGGACTCGTCCCTCTCCCATATCTCCCCATATCTCCCCACATCTCGCCAGGCTGACGGGCGAGGACTCGTCCCTCTCCCATATCTCCCCATATCTCCCCATATCTCGCCAGGCTGACGGGCGAGGACTCGTCCCTCTCCCATATCTCCCCATATCTCCCCACATCTCGCCAGGCTGACGGGCGAGGACTCAGCCCTCCCATGCCCCGTGTTCTTGAGCCTCCTCGCTTGGCTGCTGTCCCCTCTCCTCCTCTCCTCCCGGCCTAGGCCTCTCGTCTCCTCCTCCTCTCCTCTCGGCGCGCGTGTGTGTGTGACTGCGAAATGGGACGGTGTTGGTGCTCTGGACTGCCGCGCTGCTCTTCACAGCCGCACGCACCTCTCAGGTCGCAATCGGAGAGGTCGGGACCGGCCGCCGGCGTGAGCTCCGCGGCGCCGGACGCGCTGGCGAACCCGCCGCACGTCCTCGAGGGCCCCGCCCGCCAGAGCGCCGCCGGCCCAGGCGGCGGCAGAGCCAGCGGCGGCGGCGACAGCGGCGACGGCGGCGGATCGAGTCTAGAGGCGAATTTCCCGCGCGCGCCCTTGAAGGCGGCGAGCATGGCGGGCTCGTCGCGGATGTAGCACTCGGTGCTCTTGACGGGCAGGCTGTGCGTGATCAGCTCCTTGTGCTTCTCGCACTTGTAGTACAGCTGCGACGACTTGAGAGCGGAAAACTCGAACCCGACGCACTCGACCCAGCCGTAGCAGTCGAGAGCGCACTCCTCCTTGGTGATGCCCCACACCTCCTCCTGCGACGGCGGGGGGCGGGCGGATGGCTCGCGCGGCGCATTCTGCAGGCGCGCTGTGATCCGCTCTGCGGCACGCACGTAGCTACCCTGCCCACCGCCGGCCGTTGCGCAGGTGCCAGGAACCTCCATGAAGGGCGTGAGCGGGGTGCGATTGGCGTGACCGACGTTCATTCGCTGGGAGGTTACATAATGCGCATGGAGGAGGAGCGCGAGCTGGTAGAACTCCATCGTGAACAGGACACAAACGCCGTGCCGCAGAGAAACAAGAGGGCTCCCGCGGCGATCAACACCGCAACTCCTTTTCTAAAAAAATCGTTGCGAGGCTAATGACTGCACTCCAAGTGCTCCAAGTTGCAAGTGCTCCAAGTTGCGCGAAAAATCGAGCTCGTGTCCCACTTGAAGTCAAACATCGTCTCGATGGCTGACGTCGTGGAGTAGTCGTCAACCTCGTTGAAGAATTCGGTGAAGAGCATCGCGAAAACGAGCAACGACTGGCGCATCACGATCGTGACGGAGAGAAGGACGGGCGAGAGATTTTTATTAACCAACAAGAAATCACGACTCTCACAGTTCTTGACGGGCTGGTTGCACACATGCCCAGTCGAGAGGCTGCCAGAGCGTGCGGTGTGGCGGGGAGTGAGCGGCATCCCGAATGCTGTGCCGTGCGATCTAACGGGTGGTAATGAATGGGCGCAGGCGGCAGGCTGCGCCTGTAGATCATCGCCCAGGTGTGGAGGCTCTTGCACTTGTAGTCGGTCGTACCAGAAGTGTCGACGTCCGGGCCCAAAGCGATTTTCGGCATCGCGGCGAATTGTGGCAATTCCGAGTTCCACACCCAGGTCACCAACGCCGACACGTCGCCGTCCGTTCCGGCGACCAAATTGTGGCAACAGCCACGCTTCTCCCTGGACGCGGGCATCAAGCCGCAGGACGTGCACTCGAGGAGTCGCCCGCGAAGCTTGGGACTCATCGTCGCGCGGTCCTCGGTGACGTCCGCCATCACCAACGGCACGAAGGTCAAGGCCGACACTGATGGTCCGCCAAGTCGGTCGAGTGCCGGGGCAAAACGCCGAGTTTCGGGTTGTTTCTTTTTTCGCACTTTGGGGCCTTGAGTCCTTTTATCGCGCGCGCGAGAAGTGCAGACAGGGTTGCCAGGCAGGTGAGAGCGAATGGGGCGGTTCACGTCTCGCACAACACAGAGAGAGAGACTAGGAGGAGAGAGAGATGCGGTCTGCATGGTGGGACATAAAGAATTTTACAACAAAGCTCCCTCGCACAACACTGGGCACGGGACTGGCTCGCACTGGCACTAACACAGGTACACCATAAAGAAACAAAAGAGAGCGAGTACTTGGGCGAGTAGGCCGTGCGGTCAACGCTGCCGCGCGCGACTTTGCGCGCGAGGCGGCGCAGCTTGAGAACGGCGGTGGGCGAGAAGCCGCCGCCGAACGTCTCGTGGTGTCGTGGAGCAGCAGTTTTGCGCAGTGTCCCGCGTCGACCCAATCCCATACCGCGTTGGTGTCCAGTCCGAGCCCGACTGTCTTCATCTTCCTACCTACTACAGTAAGTAACAGTGTGTGCGTGCGTGTGCGTGCGTGCGTGGGTGCGTGGGTGCGTGTGTGTGTGTGTGTGTGTGTGTGTGTGTGTGTGTGTGTGTGTGTGTGTGTGTGTGTGTGTGAGTGTGTGTGTGTGTGTGTGTGTGTGCGTGCGTGCGTGCGTGCGTGCGCGCGCGCGCGCGCGCGCGCGCGCGCGTGTGTGTGTGTGTGTGTGTGTATGTCAGTGTGTCAGTGTGACAGCACAGTGACCCAGTCAAACCTCACTCCTCAGTCAGGGACACGCAGGTCACGCATCTAACCTGGTTTGTGGACCTCCCGCACCTTACCCTTACAGGCCACCATAAGGGACCCCGTTGTCCGTTTGACATCAGACTTTTTTTGAGTTGGAGGTAATAATTAAAAGGATTGCACTGTCCCAAAGAACTGATTCATTCATTTCACCCTCACATAGTAACAATACCTCAAAGTTGAAAACCTCCAAAATAGGCCGTCAGGACTCTGTCAGGACTCCGTCAGGACTCTGTCAGGACTCTGTCAGGACTCTGTCAGGACTCCGCCAGGACTCCGCCAGGACAACCACTGCCCCCCCGCTGTGAACAGAGCCCTTAGCTAGAGAGTAGGGAGGGGTGTACAGTCGAGTTACTCCCGAGGGCAGGGACGGCCCTCCACTGAGGGAAAGGGCGCAACGGGGACGGTATGCTCACAACCCAGCCACGCAGCTCTTTGCTCGCGTACAGCCAACGAGTTTGCTGGTCCACAGGCAGGCCAGGCCGTGAGCGTGGGCCGGTCGGGCCTGATCCTGCGGTGAGCACTGGAGGGCTATGCGGCTCGCTCCGTCAGCCGACTTGCGCCGTCGAGCGGTCGAGCGCTTCGGGTTGGACCCGCGGGAGGGTCCCTGCGCGGCTGACATGGCCAGCCAAGCCGTGTGCGCTGCCGTGGGCGCTGTCGTGGGTGCTGCCGTGGGTGCTGCCGTGGGCGCTGCTGTGGGCGCTGCCGTGGGCGCTGCCTCGGTCAGCAGTCGGTCAGCAGTCGGTCAGCAGTCGGTCCGCTGCTCGGCGCTGGCCTGCAGGCCGCCGGTGGCAAATCGGGGGGGCGCGGGCCATGGACGTCGTGGCCGAGCTTTGCTGCCTTCTTGCTGTAACGTTGCCTGCACCATGGCCGCGCCTCTCTTGCTTGTGCGCTTTCATGGTCGAGCCGAGTGGCGCGAGAGTGAGCGTGATTTCTTTTGTCTGTCGGACTCTAAGTTTCTGTCAGGACTCTCAAGTTTCTGTCAGGACTCTCAAGTTTGCTTGTCAGGACTCTCAAGTTTGCGTCAGGACTGCCCCATCAGGACGATTCCGCAGAGGGCGCGCACGGTCGAAAGGGGGGCTGGGCGTCTATCATTCACTGCTGGGGGGGAGGGGAAGGAGGGTTGCAGTGAAGGAAGGTGGAGGTCTCGTCGGAGGCACTTGTGAGCACTGTGAAGACCGTGCGCCGTCAGGACCCCGCCAGGACTCTGTCAGGACTATGTCAGGACTCTGTCAGGACTCTGTCAGGACTCTGTCAGGACTGTCAGGACAGGTGCGGGAGGTCCACAAACCAGGTTATCTTTTCACAGCCGCCTCTCCCTCTCCTTAGAAGAGCTTTCCTAAAAAGGTCCCAAACCGAAGGGATTCCCGGGGTCGCTGTAGAAGGACAGACTCCTCCCCTAGCTCCTCCCCTCCCGAGAGGAACCGAGCCGAGGTCTCGGCCAGGCCACGCCCGGCTGTCCCGCAGTCCTCGCAGGCCTGCCCCGCGCCCCGGCCGCTCGCGTCGCGCGCCTCGAGCACGCCGAGAATCTCGCGAACAAGCGTCCGCGCCTCACCCAGCCGTCCCTGCTGCACGAGGTGCGCCGCTCGGCGCAGCGCCATCGCCGACGCGTCCACCGAGCAGACGCGCGCCGGCGCCGGTTTGGCGTGTGGTCCAGGCGAGTCGCCGCACCCCGCGCCCGGCTCGCCCGCGGGTAAGGCCTTGGCTCCGCCGACCGAGGCACCTCCTTCTCCGGAGGACTCCTTTCCTAGGAGCGGCCGCTGCAGCTCGTAGATGAGGCGCGGCGCCGTCCTGCCCACCGGCTGAGGAACCGTCCCGCTCAATCGCTCCGTGAGCCTCACCACCGCCGCCCCAAAGACGCTCTGCGTGAGGCGGGCGAGCCAGCGGCGCAGAGGCGTGCCGCTGCCCGGTGTGGCGCCGCGGCTCCGCGACTCGGCCAGCTGGTGCCGCCGTCCAAACGTGAAGTAGCCGCGCGTCCGCATCTCGCCGGGCAGGCGGAAGTGTGCGATGGCGCTGCGGGCGCCGAGCCAGGTGACGACAGCAGAGGCGGCGCAGGAGGCGGAGGAGGCGGTGGCCACGACGCGCGGAGGGCGGTGCGCGAGGTCGCTGTGGTGGAGGAGCATGAGCGGGTGGATTGCGGCCGCAGCAAACGTTGCGAGCAGGGCGGCGCCGAGGGCGAGGGAGGTCTGCCCGCGGAATTGGTGCAGGGCCTCAACAGCCTGATGCATCGAGCCAGGCGGGCCGCAGAGCGCCAGCCGCCAGCCCATCGTGGCACAGATGAGCGCGACGACGAGCGCGACGGTGAAGAGACCGAGCGACGCGACGGTGAGCACCTGGTAGGCGGACTGCAGCGCGATGCCGTCCGAGCAGCCCTCGCCGGGAGTCGGGCACGGCGGGATGCCGTGGAGAAAGGCGTGGTTGGCGAGCCCGATGAAGATGGAGACGACCGTCGAGAGGGAGTGGAAGTGGCTGACCAGGAACTTGAGCTGCGGCGAGCGGTCGGCGGTGTGGCGTGGGCTCGCTGCAATCGTCAGGCTACTAGATGTGGCTATGCACCTCCCGCTCCCTGAGTCGCACGAGCTCCAGCTGAATCTCAGCGGCGGCGGACTCCTTCTCGGCGAAGAGGGCCATATATGTATACTCGAGCAAAATGAGGCCGTCGGCCAGACACGCTCAGAAGATTTAGCGCGAAAGAATTCAAACACCGAAAAGGGTCGCCTCACACGTTTCTCGCGACACAGGAGCGCGAAAAGAATTTAAACAAAACAACTCGCGCTCACAGCAGACAGGCTCGACACAGGCAGGTGCGAACTGGCGCGTGCTAGCACTATCACAGGCACACCACTGGAGCCGCCTAAGCGACTCTGTTAAGAACGGCAATGCACTTAGCTCCGTGCACAATGCCGCTCTTTTAAACAAATTTTAGCGGGAAGAATTTTACAACGAACGCGTGCCCAGTGTTGTGCGCGAAAAGAATCGCGTCTCCATGTGCTAGCCTGTGAGGAGGGCGTCCATAGACACCTCACTAGACCCCACACACGGTCTCGTCCGTGCCTCGCCGGCCGGCCGGCGAGATTGCTAGAGGTGGAGCAAGCCTGCTCTAGCCTCGCATGTTACTTCCTGTCGTCTGTTGTTTGTTGTGCCCTTGTTTGGAGCAGGCGGACATCGCTTCCAGGGAGGGGGGCGCGCTTCTTTCTGCTCACGCCCCACCCCCCCCCCCTAGCATGTGGTGAAGCCTCTGGGGGGGTCGGGACCCCCCCCCTAGCATGTGGTGAAGCCGAGGGCCCAACTTCAGAATCGTGCTTTGAGTTGGGTTGTTTCGTGTTGGGTTGGGTTGGTTGGGTTGGGTTGTTGGCCCGGGTTGGGTTGTTCCGCGCGTGAGGTTGGGTCGTCGGCGCGAATGGTGAGGTCTCGACCGCCGCCGCTCACGCCAGCGGACGGCCACCATCGGTGTTTTTGGCTTCGCCACCGTCCAAGGCGTGCGCCATGCGCTCGCCGGCATCGAGCGGGCAACGTGATCGACCGAGCGGCTTGCTTGGACGCCTTCTTCTGTGCTCTCGTTCGTCGAGAGCGTTTTGCGTCCCGGCGGGTGGGAGAATATGTGTCGTCTGATGTGTCACTGTGTACGTCACATCGGTCTTGATAACAAGCACGGTCGATCCGTCGAAGCGATACACTTGTTCCTATCACGCTGGAAGGCTGGCACGGAGCTCTGTGCCGGCACACAGCAAGAGCCGTGCGGCAAGAAGAGCTCGATGGGGAGCGAGCCGAGTTTACCCGTTATTACCCGAGATTACTCAACGGGTACCCGAGACTACCCGAGATTACTCAACGGGGTCGAGCGCGCGATGGCACGGCCGCGCGAGGAGGGAGGAGCGCGGCGCGGTGCTGCAGCGGGCGTGACGGGGCTTGCTTGCTGGCAAGTGCACCTGTACTGCGAGGATTACCCGAGATTACCCGAGATTACCCGAGATTGCTTGCTGGCAGGTGCACCAGTACTGCGAGGATTACCCGAGATTACCCGAGATTACCCGAGATTGCTTGCTGGCAGGTGCACCAGTACTGCGAGGATTACCCGAGATTACCCGAGATTACCCGAGATTGCTTGCTGGCAGGTGCACCAGTACTGCGAGGAGCTGTGCGTGCGCGAGGAGACGCGAGGCGAGGAGCCGGACCGGGCCATCTGGCTGTACAGGTAATCTCGGGTAATCTCGGGTAATCTCGGGTAATCTCGAGGCGAGGAGCCGGACCGGGCCATCTGGCTGTACAAGGTGGGCGAGGGCGCGAACGAGTCCGCGGCGGAGCGCTTCAAGCGCGAGCTGTCTGAGCTGATCAAGGAGAAGAACACGGCGCCCGAGCAGGAGGACGAGGCGCGGCCGTCGCCGCTCCGCCACTCTCCTCGTCGCCCCTCGCCCCCTCCCGCCTGCACGCCACCGGCCTCCCCCTCCCGCCCGTGGCGCTCGCCATCTCGAGCGCGCCGCCCTCGCTTGCCCGCAGGTGCGGCTCGGGTGTGCCCGGCTGGAAGGACCGGTACTACGACGCAAAGTTCCCGGGCGTCGACGACGTGGGCCGGCGGGAGGTCGCCGCCGCGTACGTTGAGGGCCTGCAGTGGGTGATGCGGTACTACTACGACGGCTGCGCCTCGTGGAAGTGGTTCTACCCGTACCACTACGCCCCCTTTGCCGCCGACCTCGCCGCCGCCATCGACCCCGGCCAGCCTGCCGACTTCGAGCTCGCGCGCCCCTTCCGCCCGTTCGAGCAGCTGATGGGCGTGCTGCCGCCCCGCTCGGCGCACGCGCTGCCGGAGCCGCTCGCGCAGCTGATGACCGACCCGGGCTTCGAGATCGCAGACTTCTACCCCGAGGACTTCGCGCTCGACCTCAACGGCAAGAAGTTCCTCTGGCAGGCGGTCGTCCTGCTCCCCTTCATCGACGAGGCGCGGCGCGCCGACGCGCGACTCTCTAGTCGAGATGCTCCTCACCCGCCCCCCCTCCCCCTCGAGCAGGCGCGGCTCGTCGACGCCATGGGAGAGCGCTTGCGCAAGCTCTCCGAGGACGAGCGCCGGCCGCAACTCGGTCCGCGGGCGCACGCCCCAGCCTCTGGCCAACGAGCCTCTCCTCCCCAACCTCTCGAGCCGGCTCGCTCGTTAGGTCGGCGAGCCCGTCCTCTTCCTCTCGGACGCGCACCCGCTCTGCGCGCCGCTCGTGGGTTCCTACGGCCCGCCGCCCGCCCCCCTCGTCCTCACGTCGTGCACGGAGCACTCGGCGTCGGTCGCTGGCACGCTGACACCGCTGCCCGGCGCGCCGCTGCCGGGCGGCTTGTGCGAGCCGCCCCCCTTCCGCGGCATCGAGGTCGCGCTGCGCCCCTTCACCACGAGCGCCGCCGGAACAACCTTCACCCTGCCGCCGCCGGCCAAGCACGTGCCGCAGCTGCTGCCGGGCCTCGTGCCTCCCTCGCCGCTCCTCGGCGCGTGCGACGCGCCGTGCGAGTCGAAGCGCTACGTCCGCGCGCGCGGACGCGGCCCGCCCGGCGGCTACGGCGGAAAGGGCGGTGGCAAGGGCGGCTTCGGCGGCCACGGCGGTGGGGGGCGCGACCTCGGTTACCGCCGCCTCGAGGGCGACCGGGCGCCGGTGGACGAGCAGGCCGTCCTCGATGCGATCGCGCGGCGCGCGGCGCGGCAGGCGCGCGAGTTCCAGGCCGCCGACCAGATCCGCGCGCAGCTCCTCGCGGGTGGGGTCGAGGTTGACGACCGCACCAAGACGTGGTGCGTACGCGACGCGCGGCTGGCGGCGGGCCCGGTGAGCCCGCCGCCAGGGCACTACTCCCCCTCCTCCGCTTCCCCCTCCTCTCCTCCGCACCCCTACGCCGGCCGCAGCCCGCCGCACCCCGGCGGCGGCGGCGGCGGCGGCGGGCGCGAGAACACACACGTCCGCTTCGGCGGCGAGGGCGGCAGGCACGATCGCGGCGGGGGAGGGGCCGGCGGGGGCCGGTGCGGCACGGCCGGTCGGACGGGCGCCACCAGCCGTACGCCAGGCCGCCGCCCGGGCCGCCGCCCGGGTACGGCGGCGGCGGCGTGGGCGGCGCCGCCTCGCTGCTCCGGCAGCAGCTCGGCATGTCGCGCCCGCAACCGCCACACAACCCGTACCAGCACCAGGCGCCGCCGCCGTACCAGCATCACGCGCCGCCGCCGTACCCCTCCCACGCGCCGCCGCCGTACCAGCACCACCCGCCGCCGCATCAGCACTTGCCGCGCCCGCCGCCGGGCGCGCCGCCGCCGTACCAGCACCACCCGCCGCCGCATCAGCACTTGCCGCGCCCGCCGCCGGGCGCGCCGCCGCCGTACCAGCACGGCGGCGGCGGTGGCGGGCCGCCGCCAAGGCCGAGGCAGGGCGGCTCGAGCGACGCCAACCGGAGCGCCGCGGACTTGCTACGGCAGCAACTGATGCGTCGCTGACGCCTCTCTGCGGAGCGCGACTCGCGGGGCGGGCGGAAGTGTCCCCTGCACTGGCTCGCTCGCTCGCACCGCGCAGCTCTCGCTCTTGCCTCCCCCCCCCCCCCCCCCGGGTCGGGCGCATCATCGGACAAACATGAGGTGGCTTGGGTGTTGAGGTGCACTGACACGGCACACGCGCGTGTGAGACCGACCGCCGGGCTTTAAATGCACCTACTAAGAGCGGCCGCACACTGGTCGGGACCCCCCCTGCACAACTAACCCCATCCCTGCTTGTAAGGGGGGGGGGGTGTTAACCCCCCCGCAAATAAATGGCTGGTTTTGTGGGGGGGGGGCCCCACCCCCCCGACGAGAAAGTGGGTTTTTTTGGGGGGGGGGGG